TTGTTATTTTGCCTTATTATGTCGCCTTGGCTGGCCTGGAGTAGGCTCATTTCCTGCCCTGCCTCCCAGGTACTGAGAGTAAAGGTGTGCACCACCACACCCAGCCTCTTAAAAAAAATTATTGTTGTTCATTTTAAATGGGGTTTTGTGTAGCCTTGATGGCCTCCAGCTCCTGACCCTCCTGCCTCCTCCCAAGTGTTTGCTACCACAAATAGCTAAAATCTTAATTGAGAAATAAAAATAGCACACCAAGAACAAATATATTGACAATTATTAAAGAGAGTCAATAGCTCAGAAATATTCCATTTAAAATTATAGCATTGCAGTCATACAAAAAAAATTCCTACTCAGATCTCAGGAGAAATCAGAGAAAGGGAAAAAGTGAATATGAGAAGCTGGAAATAGGAAACCCCAAAGCCAATGTGACAGAAGATACTGCATGAGCTTTAGAATTAGAATTGAGTTGAGATCTTAGTTCTGTGACCTGAAGCCAACTATTTAATCTTTTGGAGACATTCCTCATGGCAAAATGCCTTCTGTTTATTTAGGTTATGACAATGAAAGATGGATACATTGAAAGTGCACAGTGTAGTAGTCACACAATTAAACATAGTGGGCACTGGGGCTGGAAAGATGACTCGGAGGTTAAGAGCACTTCCTGCTCTTGCAGAGGACCCAAGTGTGGATCCCAGCATCCAGGTCAGGTGGCTCCAGCCACCCAGAACTCCAGCTCCAGGATTCAGGAGGTCTATGAGAGTCAGCAGATTCTAGCCTCTGGCTTCCCCAGCCACCTGTACCCGTGTGCATACGTCCACCTCCATACAACACATATGTACATCATTTAGAACAAATCCTTAAAAAGGCTTTTTTTTTTTTTTTTTTTTTTGTTTATTTTTGGTTTTTTTTTTTTTTTTTTTTTACAAAGACAGGATGCTCACATCCAAATATAACAGAATTGGTCATTTTAGGTGCTAAGACTTCAGCAAGGTATCTGTGATGATTGCTAAGATTTAAACACATGAAAGCCTTTTATTTGTAGAATAAATTAGGTAGAGTCATATAACTGAAGTCTTAAATTAAATGTCTCTCTCTTCCCCTCCTCTCTCTTCTAATGAGCTTATGAGCTGAGATTATTTTGGTGTGCCTCTGTCTCTAGCATATTGGAAGAGTGTAGTAGCACATTCTCCAAGGAGAAAGAGCCATTTAGATGAAATGATGTAGGACATCTACTCCTCTTCCCTATAAACACAGACTGAGCTTCCTCACCAAACCACAGCTCCAGAAAACTTCCCCAAATCCCACCACTCAGGTTTCCCACTGTCCCTAAGCGGCAATGTTCCTTAATTTGAGTAACAATAGCACAGTTTAGTGCCAGGCATTCCTAGACTCATGATTTCATGTTTTTTTTGTTTGTTTGTTTGTTTTGATTTTTTTTTTTTTTTTTTTTTTTTTTTTTTTTTTCGAGACAGAGTTTCTGTGTGTAGCTTTGGATCCTGTCTTGGAACTCACTGTGCACACCAGGCTGGCCTTGAACTCACAGAGATCCGCCTGCCTCTGCTCCCCAAGTGCTGGGATTAAAGGCATGCACCACCACCTCCTGGCTCATGATTATTTTTAAAAGTCTTAGGGGGCATGAATTTCATGCCTAGAGCCCCAGTACATGGAAGCAAAAGAAGGAGGATCGATGCAGGTTCAAGGCCAGCCTGGTCTACACTGTGAGCTCCAGGTTATCCCCCAAGACCCTGTCTCCAAACAACAAATCTAGGGAGGAAAGTGGTGAGCAGATTCCAGGCTGACTGTAGGATTATATAATGGATGATGTGCCCAAGGATGGATTACTGTTTCCTCCTAAGCTATGCAGTCTAGTAAACACTCAAGGATGGGAGGGAACGGAGGAATATTTGGCAAGAGAACCAACCAACTGAAGACGAGACATACCTATGGCTTCTTTCCATAGATTCATCCAGAGGAGTCCAGGATAATTCTAGTCCTGACCAGCAAACACACATTCCAGTTGTCTCCAGGTCTGAGGAATCTTGCCATCTCTCCAGTATAATATTTATCCCACTTTCTTTAACTGTCAGAATTATTCTCATTTTTCATTGTAAATCTTGAGATATTGTTAGCTAATAAATCAATGAGACATAATACTATGTTTTCTTTGTAACTAACCAAGAACATTGTGTGTGTGTGTGTGTGTGTGTGTGTGTGTGTGTGTGTGTGTGTGTGTGTGTTGGGGTGTGTGTGTGTGGAAATCCCTTTTAGAAATTTCCTCTGTAACTTTAAGTAATCTAAGCTTGGCCCTTATTAAGTGGACTACAGACCAATCAGAGGTGAATTTCTTAAGCATTTCAGCGCATGTTCTGCAGACTGAATGAGTGAGGTTGTTGCATTTGCAGTCAAGAGGCTGCTTAGCCAGCTGGGGTCACTACAACAAACTACCCCAGACTGAATAGCTTATGAGCAACAGGCACACTTATTTTCTAGTTCTAGAGTCTAGAAGTCTGAGACCCAGGTGCCAACATCGGTAGGTCCTGATGACGACTTCTTCAGGGTTCACATATTTCTTGTATCCTCCAAGTGTATTTGAATGGCGGGTAAACTAGTTCCCTTCTTAAAAGGGATCCTGGTTCCATTCATGAGGGTTTTCCTTTCATGAGCCAGTTATCTTTGAAATGGCCCATCGCTAGACATCATCACACTAAAGAGTACACTTCAAGATATGGAAGGGGGTGAAGGCATTCAGCCCATAGCGGAGGTGATGATACTGCTGTTCACTTGTCTTCCGTATGAGACGGCAACCAGACGCAAGCTCATCTCTCCATATCCAAATCTGCTTGTGCCACCTTGAACTCATCCTGCATTTACAAAGACAAATTTCCAAAGGGTTGAAATCAAAGGCTGAACCTTGAATAATAGAAGAACTGCTGGAGGTATTGCCAGCCGTGACCTCTGGTTGTATGACAGAACTACAGTAATAAAAACATGGTATTGGCATTGTGGTGGTTTGAAAGAAAATAGCCCCCAAAGGGAATGGCACTATTAGGAGGTGTGGCCTTGTTGGAGGAAGTGTGTCACCATGAGGGCAGGCTTTGAGGTCTTTTTCTCAAGCTTCACTCAGTGTGACAGTGAGTCAACTTCCTTTTGCCTACAAGATGTAGGACTCAGCTCCAGTACCATGTCTGCCTGCACACCGCCATGCTCCCCACAGAGATGATAATGGACTAAACCTCTGAAACTGAAAGCAACCCCCTTTAATTAAATTTTTTTTATAAGAGTTGCCATGGTCCTGGTGTCTCTTCACAGCAATAAAAACCTGAAGGTAGGCACAAAATGAGGTTGATAAATGGAATGAAACTGAAGACTTAGAAATCTACACACCTGTGGACACCTGTTTTTTTTTTCCATAAAGAAGCCAAAAAATATACACTGGAAAAAAGACAGCATCTTCAACAAATGGTGCTGGTCAAATTGAATGGTTACATGTAAAAGAACCTGAAAGATCCATTCTTATCACCCTGAACAAAACTGAACTCTAAATGAATCAGAGACTTCAACATAAAGCCAAATATACTCAATCTGGTAGAGAGAAAGTGGAGAACAGTCTTGAACTCATTAGCACAGGAAAAGACTCTCTGTGCATAACATAGCACAGGCACTAAGATCAACAATTGATAAATGGGACCTCATGAAATTGAAAAGCTTCTGTATGACAAAGGGCACCATCATTCTGACAAAGTGTCAGGCTACAAAATGGGAAATGTTTTACCAATTACACATCAGATAGAGGACTAATGTCTAAAATATATAAAGAACTGGAAAAAAATTGTATAGGCAGAGTTTTCCTGTCCCACCAGCTCACTTCCAAATCATCACACAGAGTCTTAGTGTTAATTATAAATGCTTGGCCAATAGCTCAGGCTTATTGTTAACTAGCTCTTACATTTTAAATTAACTCATATTCCTTATTTATGCTCTGCCATGTGGTGGTAACTTTATTAGCATGGCACATTCATCTAGTGCTCCCTCTGTGTTATGCTAGCATCTCCTCTGACTGCCCTTCTTCATCACAACATCCTTAGTTTGGTCACCCCACCTATACTTCCTACTTGGCTACTGGCCAATCAACTTTTTATTAACAATGAGAGCAATACATATTTACAATGTACAAGAGGATTGTTCCACAGCATTTCTCCCTTCTTATCTAATTAAAAAGAAAGGTTTTAACTTTAATATAGTAAAATTATATACAACAAAACAGCTTTTTAATAACAATGAGAGTGGGCTGAAGAGATTGCTCAGTGGTTGAGAGCACTGGCTGCTGTTCCAGAGGACCCAGGTTTAATTCCCAGCACCCACATGGCAGTTTATACTTGTCTGTAACTCAGTCCCAGGGAATCTGACACCCTCACAACAGTGCACATAAAACAAAATAAAATTATTAAAAAAATATAACAATGAGAGCAACACATTTTTACTGTGTACAGGATTATCCCACAACAAAATTAGACATCGAGGAAACAAGAACCCCAATTTTTAAAATGGTGTATGAAAAGTGAACAGGGAATTCACAAATTATGAAACATAAATGACTGAGAAACACCTAAAAGAAATGTTCAACAACTTTAGTTGCCAGGGACACGAAAATGAAAACTACTTTGAGATTCCCTCTTATACCAGTCAGAATGGTGAATAAAGCAAAGGACTTGTTCTTTCTTTGTTTCTTTTGTTATTTGTTTGTTTTCTTTTATTCTAGTTTGTCTTTTTTATTTGCCTGTCTGTTTCCTTAAGAGAGAAAGAAGGCTTGGAGTTGGAAGGATGGGGAGATGAGAAGGGTCTGGAAGGAGATGAGAGAGAGGAAACCATGATCAGAATACATTGTATGCAAATAACTTTATTTTCAATAAAAAGAAGTTTAAAAATTACAAATATAGTTTTTTAAAAGTAAGAATAAAATAACATGCCTCAATAAATAAGCTAAAAATCATTAGCGGGCCGGCTCTGCGAGGCTGTCCCGTATTTCCCCCTAAGCGGACAGGAGCCCACTTGCCAGCGGAAGTTGCCACTGCGTCCCTTGCTTGTGGCTCTCCTGCGGACAAAGGTCACATTCTTTTCTGCCTGGTGGAACAGGGCAATAGCCTAAAAGGGAAATCTAAGCGGATTTAGATGAATTATGTGGACTTCTCCAAGTGCAAGAGAGCCAAATCCTCTTACAACAGCTGAATCATCTCATGGGAAAGTTACCGCCACCTTTGTTACTGTAGGAATATAAAAGCTTGTCAGAGAGGAGGAGGTGCGGCAGAGGCCGTGAGCAGAGCCAGGGGCATGAAAATGCCCTGCGTGTTAGGACGGAGCCCAGGAAATATTCCAACAGGGGATAGGTACTCGGGACGAGAGGGACAACCACATTTTAAATGTGCTCATAAGCCGTGTGCTTTTAGCAGAACATCAGTGGCTGAATGCAAGGTAGCAGACATTCTCCACGGCACTTTCTGTATCCTTATCCACTCACTCTCTTTCCGTTCTTCTTTCTCTGGCCCTCCTCCATACAAAAATACACATCTCTTCCCAACTCTTCAGAGAGAAAGTGATGCCCTGACTAAACAAATGTTTCCAAAGTATGACACTCTTCTAACAGCCTCCTCTCCACTCTGAGATACCCGTTCTCCTTAACACCACAGCACCACCCCACACTGACCCGTGTCTGAGCATCATTGAGCCAGTTCACGGAAAACCTGTGCACTTCTTGGGAATCCAGATGAGACGCTCTGCTTTGTAGGCTCCAGTTACTTTAATAGTCTCAGTCTTTCTCCATGCTCTTTCTTTCGAAGAAAGGTAGCAGCAAGTGACGTCAAAATCTCTGCGTTTCTATCTAGTTTACTGTCCTGCAGAAAAAAAAAAAAGTATTTTCAATGCGGAGGAAAAAACCAATTCTCCATTTCCCCAAGAAGCTCGCCATCAGAGTCTCAAGCTTATATATAGCTCACAATGATCAACAACGTTACTCAAAGGCAAGCTGAATGCCTCCAAGCCGAGCACTCTGAGGGGCGGCAGTAACCTGCTTTCTTGTGCTGTGGGTCCAGGGCAGACACTGACCTGAGCTAATAAATGACTTCTCTGTAAAAAGGTAAAAGAGGACCAGCCTATCTGAGGCTTTCTCTCACATGTGAACAGTGTCTAACAGACACCTCAAAACCCACTCAGTGAATCCAGGATATGAGTGACCTACATTTCTCAGACATCCCAGAAAACATTATAACTGGCTTCAAGGGAATATTAATTAAAAAAAAAACCAGAATATACAAACTAAAAATTATTCTGAAATAGATAGACCCATCTGAATGCAGTGGCATCTGCCTGCAATCCTAGAATTTGAGAGGGGAAGTCAAGAGGATCAAGAGTTCAAGGTTATTCTGAGCTACATAGTAATTCCAAAGACAGTCTGGGCTATGTAGTGAGTTCAAGACCATCCTGAGATGTATAGTGAGCTCCAGACCAGCTCGGAATGAACAGAGAGACCCTGTCTCAAAAGCAAGCAAATAAACAAAGCAAACAGACAGACAACCGCAGTAGAAGAGAAGGCAGGGGTGGCCCAGTAGGCTGACTATGGGAGGGAGTGATGTCTTGCTGTGGATATTGCAGCCTGTGTGAGGAGGGTACAACACTGTCCTTGTCATAGGGAGGATAGCCCAGCTGAACTGTGGGGCTTTAGTAAGGTGGGGAGCACACCTGCATAGGAGAGGAGTGACTGAGAACAGGACAGTACCATCCACAAAAAAAAAAAATGAAAGCAAAGACCTAATCCATCAAAGTCTAGTTCTGGGAAAGTCTCTAAATATACTAATTTTGCCTTTTGGTGTCTGTAGTTTCTCTTCTCGCTAACTGTTCTTGTTAACTGAAGAATGCCAACCCATGGGACCTCATTCAGGGCTTTTGCATGGGACCCTATACACGACTTCTGAATGGGACCATATACAAGGCTTCTGCATGGGACCCTATATAGGCTTCTGCATGGGTCCCTATGCAAGACTTCTGCATAAGGCCCTATATAAGGTTTTTCATGGGACACTGTGCAAGGCTTCTGTGTGGGACCCTGTACAAAACTTCTGCATGGGACCCTATACAAGGCTTCTCTTTGGGTTCCTTTGCTACAAGAGACCTTAAGACAAATGGAAAATCATAACTGGGGTCTGAGGGTTGGGCAACAATGTCATGTGGATGTGAACTTCTTGGTTTTTATGGCTGATTGTTACATGTTGAAAGAACAGCGTTGACCACATACACTGAGATGTACTGAGGGCGATGGAGAAACATGTAGGTCAGTTGTTTTCAAGTAATTCGGGAAAACTTTTTTTTCTCTTTTTTGATGTTGACTTACAACTTTTTTTTGAGGTTGATTAAAAAATATCAAGCATGCACTGGGGCAGGTTGAAGGAGGATGAAGGGAGAGAGTACTAAGAGAGAAGGCTGGAATTAAAGGACATTTGAGGAGTAAGGCAGAAACCCCGTGCAATGAAAACTCCTTTGAAGCTACGAGGGTGACCCTAACGAAGACTCCTAGTAATCGTAGCTATGGAGGTTAAACCAGCCCTCTTCTGTAAGCAAGCAAGACTTCCAGTGGAGGGATTGGGACATCAACCCAGCCATGAAACCTTTGACTTATTATTTGTCCTGCCTGCAAGGTGTGCTGGGATAAAGAATGCTGTGGGATGTTCTCTATGCTGTGAATGTGTTGCTCTGATTGGTTAATAAATAAGTGCTGATTGGCCAATAGCCAGGCAGGAAGAACAGGTGGGACAAAGAGAGAGGAGAATTCTGGGAACAGGAAGGCTGAGTCAGGAGACACTGCCAGCTGCCACCATGAGGAGCAGGATGTAAAGTACTCGTAAGCCACGAGCCCCCTGGCAAGGTATAGATTTATAGAAATGGGTTAACTCAAGATATAAGAACTAGATAGCAAGAAGCCTGAGCCATTAGGCCAAACAGTTTAAATAATATAAGTGTCTATGTGTTTGCTTGGGTCCAAGCAGCTGAGGGATTGGCCGGTGAGAGAGATTTGTCGTGACCGTGGGCCAGGCAGGACCAGGAGATAACCCCATCTACAAAAGAAGGCACAGAAATTGTGGGGGTGACCAACCAATAAATAGTTCAGCTTGAGACCCATGCCATGAAAGGGAGCCCACTTCTGACACTGCCTGGAGGGCCAGGAACCAGAGGATGGATAGCCCAGAGACCTAGAACCAAACAGGACTGACCAAAAAAAAAAAAAAAAAGTCAATGATTCCTAATGATATCCTGCTAGTCTTGTAAACTGAGCCTAGAATAATCATCACCAGAGAGGCTTCATCCAGCAACTGATGGGAGCAGATGCAGAGACCCACAGCCAAACATTAGGCAAAGCTCAGGGAATCCTGCGGAAGAGAGGGAGGGAGGTTGTAGGAGCCAGAGGAGTCAAGGACACCACGAGAAAATGGCCCATGGAATCAACTAACCTGGACTTGTAGGGTCTCACAGAGACTGAACCAACAACCAGGGAACCTATATAGGTCTGACCTAGGCCCCCTGCATATATGCTATGGTTGTGTAGCTTGCTGTTCTTGTGGGACTCCTAACAGTGGGAGCAGGGGCTGTCTCTGATTCTTTTCTCTGCTCTTGGGACCCTTGCCTCCTACTGGGTTGCCTTGTCCAGCCTTAAGATGAGGGAGATGCCCAGCCTTATTGCAACTTGATAAGCCATTTTTGGTTAATGGGAGGTCTGCCCTTTTCTGAAGGGATATGGAGGAAGAGGGGAGGTAGAGAAGAGGGACTGGAAGGAGGAGAGAGAATTGCAATATATGAGAAGATGATAATAATAATAATAATAATAATAATAATAATAATAATAATGTAATACATGAGATAATAATAATGTAATATGTGAGATAATAATAATAATGTAACACATGAGATAATAATAATAATAAGGTAGGATTAACATAGTAAAAATGGCAATCTTACCAAAAGCAATCTACAGATTCAATGCAATCCCCATCAAAATCCCAACACAATTCTTCACAGACTT